CCTGTCCCCTCCCCTCTCCTCCCTGTTGACATGTCTCCTCCCTGTTGACCTGTCCCCTCCCCTCTCCTCCCTGTTGACCTGTCTCCCTCCCTGTTGACCTGTCCCCTCCCATCTCCTCCCTGTTGACCTGTCCCCTTCCCTCTCCTCCCTGTTGACATGTCTCCTCCCTGTTGACCTGCCCCCTCCCCTCTCCTCCCTGTTGACCTGTCTCCTCCCTGTTGACCTGTCCCATCCCATCTCCTCCCTGTTGACCTGTCTCCCTCCCTGTTGACCTGTCCCCTCCCATCTCCTCCCTGTTGACCTGTCTCTCCCCCCTGTTGACCTGTCCCCTCCCCTCTCCTCCCTGTTGCCCTGTCTCCTCCCTGTTGACCTGTCCCCTCCCCTCTCTGTTGCGCTGTCCCTTCCCCTCTCCTCCCTGTTGACCTGTCCCCTCCCCTCTGACTTGTCCTATTTTGTCCAACCTTTTTTTCTGGTCTCGCATTCTAAGTAAAGGCTTACAAGAATCAATATATAAATGTTTACTAGCCTCGGTCTGTAATGCCCTTCTCTGTGTCTCAATATTCTTGGTCATGTCGTTGTTTCATTTTCATTTCATTTAGATCTTAAGCTATGAAGCTGAATGCCCTTTTGATCTTTGTCACGGACAACTTGCATCATGTCACCAGCATTGTCAAAGCAGTAAGAACATTGGGAAGATATTATCATTTAGTAAAACATCATTAACATGTACAGATTCTGGTCTGGTTAGTCACAATATTTGCGGCATGAAGCTGAGTCAATGATTATTCCCTGATGAGCACAATATTATTAAATTACAATAATTAGCCCGAGTATTTTGATTAATGAAAAGCAAGTGGTTGTGGAATGGAGTTAAGAAATTGACTTATCATGTATTGATTCTTGTGTTGAATGCACATGTATGATATTTCAAGGTCATACTACAGGTATACTTATACTAGGTCAGACCATAAGTGTAATAATTCAAGGTCAAGCTACAGGTGTAATAGTATAAGGTCAGGCTATGGGTGTAATAAGACTAGGTCAGACCATGAGTGTAATAGTTCAAGGTCAGGCTGCAGGTGTAATAGTACAAGGTCAGGCTACGGGTATAATAAGACTAGGTCAGACCATGAGTGTAATAGTACAAGGTCAGACTACAGGTGTAATAGTGCAAGGTCAGGCTATGGGTGTAATAAGACTAGGTCAGATCATGAGTGTAATAGTACAAGGTCAGCCTATAGGTGTAATAAGGCTAGGTCAGACAATGAGTGCAATAGTTCAAGGTTAGGCTTCAGGTTTAAAAGTTCAAGGTTTTACTAAAGGTGTAATAGTTCAAGGTCAAGCTACAGGTGTAATGGTACAAGGTCAGACTAAAGGTGTAATAAGGCTAGGTCAGACAATGAGTGCAATAGTTCAAGGTTAGGCTTCAGGTTTAAAAGTTCAAGGTCAGACTACAGGTGTTATAGTACAAGGTCAGACAATCTGTGTAATAAGACTAGGTCAGATCATGAGTGTAATAGCACAAGGACATACTAAAGTTGTTATATTACAAGGTCAAGCTACAGGTGTAATAGTACAAGGTCAGACTAAAGTTGTAATAGTATAAGGTCAGACTACAGGTGTAATAGTACAAGGTCAGACTAAAGTTGTAATAGTACAAGCTCAAATTACAGGTGTAATAGTACAAGGTCAGACTAAAAATGTAATAGAACAAGGTCAAATTACAGGTGTAATAGAACAAGGTCAANATATAGTACAAGGTCAGACAATGGGTGTAATAAGACTAGGTCAGATCATGAGTGTAATAGCACAAGGACATACTAAAGTTGTTATAGTACAAGGTCAAGCTACAGGTGTAATAGTGCAAGGTCAGACTAAAGTTGTAATAGTACAAGGTCAGACTACAGGTGTAATAGTACAAGCTCAAATTACAGGTGTAATATTACAAGGTCAGACTAAAAATGTAATAAAACAAGGTCAAATTACAGGTGTAATAGAACAAGGTCAATTTACAGGTGTAATGGTACAAGGTCAATTAACAGGTGTAATAGAACAAGGTCAATTTACAGGTGTAATAGAACAAGGTCAGACTACAGGTGTAATAGTGCAAGGTCAGGCTAAGGGTGTAATAAGACTAGGTAATAGCATGAGTGTAATAGTACAAGGTCATACTAAAGTTGTAATAGTACAAAGTCAAGCTACAGGTGTAATAGTACAAGGTCATGCTAAAATTGTAATAATACAAGGTCAGACTACAGGTCTAATAGAACAAGGTCAAATTACAGGTGTAATAGTACAAGGTCAGACTACAGGTGTAATAGAACAAGGTCAAATTGCAGGTGTAATAGTACAAGGTCAGACTACAGGTGTAATAGAACAAGGTCAAATTACAGGTGTAATAGAACAAGGTCAATTTACAGGTGTAATAGTACAAGGTCAAATTACATACATGTATAATAGTACAAGATCAAATTACAGGTGTAATAGTACAAGGTCTTGCTACAGGTGTATATAGTACAAGGTCAGATTACAGGTGTTATAGGCCAAGGTTCCTGGAGGTGCTTTCGTATACATGGACAGGGTATTTGATATATTATAAACCTGCTGATCAATAACTCATACTATTAGAGAGCTGCTAATTAGATCTACATGATGTGAAAATATGGGTTATTAAAAATGAGTATAAGGTAAAACAGAAGCTGTTAATGCCCACCTGAAATTTATTTTCATCCTGAAATATCCTGGAATCTCAAGATTATCTTGGTATAAACCTGTTGGTATAAGTGCAGATTGCTTTCTTAGAAAATTGATTCATCGTATGATTCAGATCAATCAATTATGTGCATTTACTTTTAATTGCCTGATTAGCGCTGATAATAGTTAGCCTAGCTAACTTGATCTGCAGGAGCCATTTGAATGATAGAGTTATGATTTGAACATGTACGTATCTACATGTACATATGATGAATGTTGATGTATATGTGAATGTTACCGTTTGTAATGTTACTCCATCTTTATGTAAGATACAAGTACACATCTGTCACCACAGGTATGCTGTTTTGCTGCCGGCCTGGGACACTAGTGTTTTTGGCATTCTTTCTTGGGTCAGTGTTTTGCTGACAATGTGGCAGCACAAGTACTGCTGGGGTCAGTGTTAACCTGACAGTGTGCTAGCACTGCTGGAGTCAGTGTTTACATGACAATGTGGCAGCACTGCTGGGGTCAGTGTTAACCTGACAATGTGTTAGCACTGCTGGGGTCAGTGTTAACCTGACAATGGTACAGCACTGCTGAGGTCAGTGTTAACCTGACGATATGACAGCATTGCTGGAGTGAGTGTTAACTTGACAATGTGGCAGCACTGATGGGATCAGTGTTAACCTGACAATGTGGCAGCACTGCTGGAGTCAGTGTTAACCTGATGATGTAGCAGCTTGGCTTGGTGCAGTGATTTATCAGATAATCTGATGTTGTGATGCTTTTGATGTAGTGATGCTTTCACATTAATCATCCATGACAATGTGGCAGCAATGGCTCTGATGTTGATAGATATATAAGATTTTATGTGTTATTAGATTGTTATATGATACTGATCTGGCCTGCTCTAATGACGAATCATTGTCTCCTTGCTCTGACTAAATCCGGTCACCATAATCTATAGGTCATTTGGACGATAAACAGATATAACGTTATGACATTTTGATTCTACACTCTCATGACCAGCTCCTGCTTCTGCGTGTGCCCAATGGTTGGAAAATATTTACAAAAGAAGATAAAAGGTGACTAAATATTGTTAAGTATGGTATAATATGTATACTATTCTGACACACAGTTACATTTGCAGAGTTGTTGGGACAAATTGGTTTTAGATGGATTTTCTCTGGAGTTTACATACGGTAGACAATAAATCTGTGTTCTATGGTTTCTTTCTGAAGGGTAATTTAAAAGTAAGCTATTGGTCGGGCTGTATGGCTTGTTTCTGATTCCTATAAATAATACCCACAGGAGTAGACTCTCTCTCAAGCCAATCATCAGTGTATCGTTATTTATAAGCTAAGTAATTACTCCCTTCGTTTACGTGGAGGATTCCAATACCCAAAACCATCAACACGCACGCTTGTTAGGGAAGATGGGTAGATGTCTTTGTATAAAAAAAAGTGGAATGGATTTATACCAGAAGATTTATCCCTCTCAGTAAGTGAACTCTGGAATTTTGTAATGGAAAAAAAGTAGAAATATCAGAGGAGGCATGCGAAGATACAATCAATAAGAACACACAGATTCCAAATCTGATTATAATTCCTTGAGTTGTGGGAAGGTAGATCGAGTGGTGAGTGGGCCCTAGACCCGAACCTACATCGAACCTACAGCGGTACAGTAGAGGAAGTCACTCCTGTGTCAAACCAGGTCTGAGGCATCACATACATGTATATATAATCAGCTGGCTTTAAAAACTTTGCACGGCCACTTGTTTGTGTCTAGCACATTGCACCGGCAACTCTCCAGGATTCAACGCCAAAGATGTGCTTTTCTCCTGCCAGGCATCTCTCCACGATGTTGTGTTAAAACGCAAATGTTTTAAGACGGGAGAATGGATTACTTGTAGTTAGGGGAGCGCAGAGACTGGATTTAAGAGTTGTCTAGTCTGGATGAGGTCATGAGGTAAGCTGTTTTCTGAGTGTTTTTTTAAACCCTCATGTTTTGTCTGGTGTATGTACTGTCCACAGACAGTAGCTTTCTAACACTGGACATCAACCTCATCCCTTTCTTTCTCTCCCTTTCTTTCCATCTGTCTCTCAGTGTTCAGACATCATGGTGAACATAAACTTAAAGGTTTCTCCTTCCTTGATCCTATCTCTGACAAGCTAAATATGTATTTTCATGAGCTGTGTCAGACTTTCATCATTTCTAATACTTACATACTAACCAGGGCCTAACCTGGCAGTCTGAAGACTCTCTGGGATGTTTTTGAATGATAAATAATTGGGTTGTGTTTTTGAAACTGTAGGGACTGACATGTATGATAACAGATAAGCCTGCTTCCCTCCTGTTTACCTGCAAGGCACTGTTGTTATGTAATATACATTTTGTCTTGTGTGTAAATCTGGCCATGTAATTGATCTCATTCAGAAGGATCATATCATTAGCTACCGTAGTTCTTCTTATATCTACGCCCCAGGTTAGAGCATCTCTTTGATCAGCTCCTGTAGATGTTATCTGTCTTGCTAATTGGTTGTTAAATCAATTTCTATGTAAGTTATTTCTTAAGTGTGAAAATTAAAGCTTTAGCTACAAACAGGAAATTCATTAATATTTCACGAGTTTAGGTGTAAGCTCCTTATTTGTTTTAAAAACCAGATATAGAAAAAAGCTGTAACTTTGCACAAAATAACAACATTTTGCTCTGGTGTTTGGCATTCTGCCCTGTTCAAAGAATAATGTCACTTTTGTCATTACATGTTTCTTGGGGCAGTAATGTCAATTTAATGAATAAATAACCGTTTAAAAATAGCAAACGTTTTTCTCCGCATGAATAATTTCCCCCGGCATGTTTGAGTTGGAGAACTATAGGAAACAAGACATAATAAAGCCTATTGTATACCTCAGACATTGATTTTCTACTGCTGGGAAAGAGTGAGAGGATGAGGCAGTATCTAACAGTATTGATGTCTCCTGGACATTCCCTATATGTCTTCTTCTGTAGGGCTAGAGCTGCACCAGAGCTCTGTTTATAATAACATAAGTCACTTATACCTATAATCAATAGGTCTGCACATGTTCATGCAGGCCATTTAATCGGATCACTGAATCATTTTAAAGTTAGCGTATGTATGCAGAGTAAAACAAATAGGGAAAAAGAATTGCCATTTTTTTAAAATTTCTTTTTTAAGTAAATATGGAACAAATTTTGCAAAAATGAATTAAGAATGAAGTCCTTCGTAATCAAGATATTAAAATTACAATTTTGTAATATGAAACCAATTATTGTTAGTTGTATTGTTTACATATAGGTAACACATATCACAGGTAAAATACTGTATCATTTATATCTATGTGACATAAATTGCACCCAAAAAACCTGTAATATTAATTATCTATATGACACACTATTGTACACTGTTTGCTGTTCATTTTCCTGCATTGGGGCATAGCACTGGATACACTTGCCTGTAATTACAGGCTGTAAACGAGCTACATTGCACAGTTTAACTTTGTGCACATGCACTCACCAAATAGGCTGAGCCGATGCTCTAAATGTTTGACTAATTTACTGCGAGGTGTGGCGCTATTATTACCCAGTTCCACCCACTTCCTGGTAGCTGTTTCCTCATTGACATAAAAAACATTTTGTTGTTTTCATGATATTGATCCATTTCATTTACTTTAAACATTGAAGTTCATTGGTGTTGAAAAGCATTAAATTACTGTAAGATAATTGAGAGGGATATATAGTAATAGGGTTGTGTGTACTTATAACACAGGAGCATCTCAAAGTCACTTTCGTTGCTGATAAAAATGGGCCCATGTTAGGTTTAGTAATAGACGTCGCATTAATACACCCAGAACAGCTGCAAGTACACGTGAGGTATTGTTATACCGATGAAAGATAAATGTCAGGAAATTGTATATAAATAGGTATGTTAAAAATACATATAGACTCCTAATCAAAACAGATGATAGGAAATATTTTCACAATTCTCAAGTCTTAATCAGAATATTTGAATTCAAGAATTCATATTGAGTGATTTTTAAGGCCCAGTAAACATAGATATTAGTGATGAAACAGCATTAACCGACCAAAAAGAAGAGAGTTTGTTGATAAGGCCAAGGCATGGTCTTTTTAGGTAATTTTATTAATGCTATGCATACATAGTTTGGGGGTTGATTTACTGACATGGGCTGTTAGTCCCTCTGTCTGTAGATGCAGCAGTGTTTGTATTCCTCCCAAAGCCAAGCACTAATTTGAACGATACTTGATAAACAGAACCCTTAATGTGTATAAAGTCATTACATAAATTTATGTTAATCCCCTATTTACGAAGTTAAAAAAAACGTTTGTCACACCAATACTACTCCTTCTGAAGAACTGTACAGATTAGAACGATAATTGGTACACATATAAAATTTACATCAAAAGGATTTGTATAAAGTAAATGAAAATAAAGTGATCTCCCCCTATTTCTGGAGTTATGCCCCTTTCTTTAAAACCATTATTCACACTACTGTAGTTTTTGGCATAGACAGATGGAATTAGTCTGCCATTCTTGAGACAGTTCGTGTTGGGTCTGCAGTGGAACTGATAGAGCAGAGTAGCTTCACTTTTGAGATGTAACATATTTCATGCTCTTTAAGTGTTTGTAATCAGGAAAATTTGTTATTCCTGATACTAATGTGCTAAGATTTACTATACTCCAATATAAACGGAAGAAAAAATGTGAAAAAAAAAGGAACAGGTTCCTCCTAAGTACTGTATACAGATATAGAAGGGTTCAAAGTATCGAGATTCCACTGCTCCACAAGAACCAAAGCAAGATTCCACTGTACACACAAAGTAGACTAGGATTCACACATGTCCTGTAACAAAAGTGTTCAAACTTAATATGTTCCAAACTTAATCTGTTTCAGTTGCAGAAACCAAATTCTAGACTAATCAAGTTTCACCATGTGCATGTTGCGGAAACTAGTTTATTAAATAATTACTACAGCCAAAGGTTATAGTTCTTTCTTCTTTTATACGTTGATCACTTTCCCGTTTGATTCTCTGTAAACTTACTCTTTTCAAAATTTTCAAAAAGAAGGTAGGACTTGTTAGACTTTCAGTTTTAATAAAGATCCATATCCCGTGTATCTTGTGGTAATATATTATACATTATCTGTACCTCTGTTGTTGAGGTATCACTTTTCATCCCAGCATGAAAATTATAGTTTGATGTCATTCCCATAGACACCATGTTCATTTGCAGTAAAAATTATTTGATCATGATTAGAATTCTAAGAAACGAAATTTATTGTAAATGTTACCAATGAAAGCGTTATATCATTCTCTAGCTGTTAGGCTAATTTCATCAATTGTTGACTCAAACTGAAGCCAGTATAATTGATTTTCGTTAAGTTTATTAACATAAACTATAATGGGAATATGGTGTTACAGGAGAGATTTTTGACCTCTGACTAGTTTTAATTATAATACACAGGAAAAATGAATTCAATTGTTTACCCCTGAAATTTCATAATGAACTATTCAACTATTCAAACCTTTGAATTAGAAGAGCTCAAATGTGTTTTTAGGGGTGAATGAGTTAAGACTAACCAGCTCCTTCATGGTGATGCGTACCATATTTCATCATAAATGTGCACTATCCTTACCTACATTTGTAAGCAAGTCTCCAAATTATTAACCAGCATTTCCTTACTTGAGGAAAAAAGTGTCCTTTATGATCAGCTTGATTTCAATTATGCTAATTTCCCCACATTTCTAAGCACCCAGGGCACTTTTTAGATGGAATAAGGTATTTGCACTTAAATACATCTGTGACATAGAAACCAAAGTGTGAGGTATCCATTACCTGGCTCCATATATATGTATTCTACACTTGTTTAAATTAATGAAATGCAAACAGACATACATAGTGATACAGCCCCCATGTGAAATGTCAGCTGTGGGATGTTCTCAAATCAAGCCTGCGATCATGTTACAATGAATGACATTGTGTCAGTTTGAGTTGATAAGGTATCTCAATTGTATGATATAAACTCATTTTGTGAAATAATAAATGTTAATGATGAAAATTTGGGCAGCAACATCAAAGTGTATTACAAAATTTGTCTTAGTTATGGTGGTAAAAAAGGAATACCTTATTTTTCAATCATTGAGAAATCATATTAATATTGAATTTGTCATCTGCAAATTGAATTATTTGTTGCAGCGAAAAATGTTGCAAATTTTTACTGGCTTTTTGAGAATAAAAAGATTACGAAAGCTGAATTTAATGCCAGGAGCAAAACAATTACTGTGTGATTAAGGCAGGCTGATTCTGATACCTCCAATACATTAATGTAATTCTGATTAAGAGAGGAATTATTTTTAACTTCCATGGTTTCAAATATCAATTCCTACAGGAATGTTTAGTTTGTGTGGGCTGGGGTCTCGCTGACGAACGTCGCTGTGTCTTAACACTATGAACAAGCTTCACCTTCAGATTTTATGTCGGTATAAATTCAATTGATGGTTGTAGGAGGGGGTCTGATGATTTCCCCCGACAGATTTGCTGTCACACGTACAGATCGGTGAAAGATTGGGGATCTGGGACGAGAATCACGATGGGGTGACTATTTTTAGGGTGATGTGCGTCAGACAAATTATGACAAGATCTGTAGGAGTGTAGAGCAAGTGGACAAAGGGAAGTAATTCTGACTAAAAGTCAACCTGTACTGTCCCGGTAGTGTCCCGGTAGTGTCCCGGTAGCATACAACACTAGGCAAGATTTACTGGTTTATTAATTTATGATGGTTATATATAACTACCAGAAAATTGTTTCTGGATTTTATTTTATTGTCTTTTGCCTTCAGTCCTGCCTTCTACACCTACACTGAAGGTATGATGGTAATTAACTCCAGTTACTTTCTAGAATATTCCATGATTCATGGATCTTGGGAAATTT